GAAAGGAAGTCCCTGGTGCCCCGACATACCTCGGGTCATCTACAGACGAGTAGACGACCCCCCCCGTGTGGGAACCCCATGTTCCCGGTGCTCCCTGGAGGCGAGCGCGCTTCGCAACGACGCTCGCCGCCACCTCGGCCTGCTTCTGCTAGGGTGACAGATGGCCTCACCTGTCACCCCCCAGGCCTGCGCTTATGGAGGACGGAGGTCGTTCTGCGACCTCCGGCGCCTGAGTCGCCTGCGGTGCCTGGCCCGTGCCCGGCCTGGCGGGCCGGGAGAGTTCTAAACCTATCCGGTCCCGCTCCGCCGTCTCCTTCGCGAGCATAACTTGCTCGCAGAAGGAGACGGCAGAGTTCCACGCACTCTCGCTCCGCACGATAGCCGCAATCAGGCTATCGAGCGAGAGAACTCCCACTCCGATGGCCGCCACGAGGTCTCGCCTCTGCTCAACCCACGCCGGGCATTCTGCCAGCGTGTGGAGAGCCGTGTCCACGGTCTGGCCATCGCAGTGGTGGCACTCAGGCGTTGGCTCCTTGCGGATCAGACACAGGTGATCTCCGAAACATCCCTTCCCAGTGATCACCTGCGTCAATCGGTATGAGAGGGTCCCGTGACGCCTCTCGAGCCAATCCTCCATAACGGGAACGAAAAGTGCCTACCCTTCCTATTTTGATTTTTGTTAGAGAAATATTAGAATTGGTATAATAATATGACTTAAATGCAAATCTTTAAACCGTCGTATGTCAATTGTTGCGCCTGAGAAAAAGCGTCTTGAAAGACAGGTACATTTTTTCCTTTTGAGGAACGAAACCCCAAATTCAATGAATGACAAAGGTAAAAGAACATCCTGAATACATTTTTAATCATAGGAGACCCCTTTGTTCTGATAACCATGTACGAAAACAAACAACGCAATTAATCTCTGAACGCCAGTACATCACTACAGCATATTTATAAAATGTATTCATATTATAGATTACGCTGAAATTCGCCGACTGTTGTTATTATCGCTTAAGCGGAATGCATTCGTTCCACCTACACACCACGTTTATAAACATCAAGTTCGGTTAATCCTTTTAGATAGCTACCCAGTGTTTCTTTTATTTAGGGATGTCACCTATGCTCAGTATACCACACCGAGTGGATTTAGTTGTTCAATCTAAACTTTAAATGAAACGCCCTAAAGTCAGTGGTAAGTCGAGGCTTGCACTTACACAAAAAAGACAGCTAACAATTTGTTATCGATAAGAAGAAGGTGAGAGGAACCAGGTTTGATTGTGTATTTTCTAGAAAATTCGCCAAGATTTTTTTTCATGTAAATATAATAGGTAGTTTACTAGTACAATTAATTGCCCTTTATATATTTTTAAATTACATGTAACTGCACAAACTTATTACTTTTCTTTAGAAGATGATTGTGTGGTTCAGTAAAAAAGTTGTGCGAATAAGTAAGTAAGTAAGTTTACGTAGTGTAAGTAGTGCGAATAAGTATTAAAAGAATATCTTTTAGAATTTTAGAATGCATACTTAGGTTATATAGTTCCATTCCATAGTTCTTATAAAACATTAGCTAAAACATTGGCGCGCTATTTTAGTCTGCGTCATGATAACAGAATACGAATAATCTATTGTCGCTATAACAAACAAGTAATACTATAAATAATAATAAGACTATGATTACTAATCTCATAATGTCATTCCAATCATTTTACCTTCGGTCAAACAAACAAACTGGTTTTTGAATTAAGTCAATTTAAAAACGTAGTTTCAGCGCTTTTGGCAACCACAATAATGGTTTTATATTTCAAATTACCTCGTAGTTAATACTGTTTTCTACATAAGTAGGTACATTTATAAACTTAAAAAAAAGGGAATTTACACAAGAATTCTTTATATTGCTTGATCTTAAACATTAACGTATCTTTAAAACCGTATACGTAGAGACTTGAAATTTTGACAAAAGCAGTATTAGTGTAGTTTTATAATAATAAGTACTGTAGTAGGTACTGATAATAAAATTAAGTCAAAACATAAAGGGTCTCCCAATATACGTACGACACCCGGCGTGTTTTGAACATTTTTTGGTCAACCTAATAGGATAATAACGGCATTTAGAAAGGTGCTTATAATGTTTTACAAATTTGTGTATTTCTAGAAATATTCTAGAAATAGTCATACCGTCTTTGTTGGAACCAATGCTACTAATACTAATACTGGATCAAATAATATTTAAATTAATTATAAAATGTTTGGTCTAGGTTTGCATCCTTAGTACACGACCTTAAAAGTTTATTAAAGTTATAAGATGGTGCAGACAAACAAAAATGTAAAATTTTTCAATGCAAAGATTTGACAACCCTACCGTTATAACTTACTTATTTTGTTCTTATTGTTGCGTCTGCGCCGGATCTAAACATAAACGCGCGCATGCCAATCTGTCTCTTGACTACTACACGCACTAATTATAAAACACATTATCTATCTTTATTATAAATTAACCATTTACAATACTGTTAATTTACATCGTTACAAAGTAATTTTTACTTGTTAGATAAGATAATTTTTATACAATTTAGTAGACAAACAATCATGTAGACCACCTGATGGTAAACGGTTACCGATAACTATCAATACTTATGACGCTAGTTTTATTATGTAAGCGTTAGGGAACTGATACATTTTCCACCATCATTTTTTTGTTAATTATGAGCGTAAGCACCCATTAGTGATCTTGACCTCACCCTCCTCTGCCTTTCTAAGGGGTGCAGAAAACTACTCAGTAGAGGTAACAAGCGGTAAGTGACATCAGTAGATAAATAACGCCTGAGGGAGTAACGTTTAATTGTGTCAAAAGCTGGTAAATATGTCAAAATAATAAATGAATGAATGAATAAATATGACAACTGTTACCGATAATTTAATCGGTAATTTGCTAGTCTTAGTACCTAATACTTAACTATTTTACTACGAAAATACCCTTTATGATAGTTGCGAAATCGAGAGTTGATCGGAACTGGATTTAGACCAAACTTTTATTACAAAAATTTGGTCTTCTCCACCACTCCAGTATTTAGTTAATCACTAAAATACTGGAGTGGATTAACTAAGTCTGGAGTTTACTAAAAGTTTTTTTTAAGTTGGCGCTTGTAGCTGCCGACCTAAAGGAACCTGAGAAGTGGGGATAAACTAGTAATAAAGTTGGTTAAACAGGAAACAAGTCAAAAATAAAAGAAAAATGCAAATTTGAAATTTTTGTCCGGATGGTATACAGGCTAAATTTAGTAGGTAATCAGGCTGTTAAATGTGTGGCTGTTGAATAAAGATAAGTCTCAAAGGAAAATAATACGTAGCACATGTGTCACAGTGTACAGTTGCATGGCAAAGAAAAATTTCCTGTAGATACGTTTATCATTACACACATTCACACATTTACATTATATGCACATTCGAAAAATCGTTTGGCAGCATATTAAGAAATTGGCAATCGTTTTAGTATTATTTCTCACTTACAACAAACGATTCTGCGAATTGATTAAACAATACAATGAATTTAAATAATTGTATCACGAGGACCTTAATGCATATGAGCTCAAATCAGAATGTTTTCATTTAAGGAAGTAATTAAAGAACATAGCAAAGGAATCAGTGAATTTGAGTAGCTCAAACTTACATAAAATAATAAGTCAAGCCTGATAAATTAGAAGAATCTTTTCCCAACTGTTGTAATTGCTACTAGAATGTTTTTTTGCTTTATGGTTACCAATTGCAGTGGAGAGCGCTCATTTGCACAGCTAAACTTTTGCTGTCCAACAGGGCCCCAAATTCTTGCGTGCCCAGGGGCCCCAGCATAGCCTAAGACAGCCTTGTCTGTAAATTCACTGAGTCATGTCAATGGCTATATGGCTCGACAGAACCTGTCACTGCTCAACGGCGAAACGATGTTATTTTAAAACTAGTGTAACAAGTTAGTTGTGTCCTTGATACTCAACGATAAAAAAGGGGTAAAAATAAAGCGAGAGGAGCAGCTGTTCTCGATGCCTAGAGATAAATGGCGCTAAAACTCCAATGACAAAAATAATTTCAAGCGAAAAATAACACTTTGTGCGTGGGGGTTGATCATTGTTATTACCGACCGCCATAGCGTACCGTAACAATGATCAACAAACATACATACTATTACTACATACTATTACTATTATATATTATTTTTAAAATAGGTAGGTTTAGGTTTCTATTCTTTCATTTGTCCGATACAAGGGTATAACCACGAGTATGACTTTATAGGTTCGTAATTCAAATGAATGATTAATAAGGATGGGAATAAGATTAAATCATTAACATAAATGTCTTAAAAGAAACAAAATAAATCATCATCATCATCAACAGCCTTTACTAGTCCACTGCTGGACATAGGCCTCTCCTTAGAAAAACTTATTCAGATTAGGTAGCTGATAAATATAATTCATTCACCAGCTGTCTCTACGGCATGTTCTTAAAAAACTTGTAATGCCATCTAGTGGTTCACATTTAAAATTCGATCATGACATGAATTGTGTAAAATTGAACTTTTTTGCTAATCGTTATATTATATAGTAATAACTTAATTCGTGAAAGTTTAGATGAATAATTCATTAATATTTTGAATAAATTTCTTGAAAAAATAATAAAAAGCTATTTCAGTATTGAGGAATTCAAATAAAATATGGTGTTTATTTAAATTAACATAATGCATTTCTAATACAATAATTAAATTGACATAATGCCTTCATTAGTAAAGGTAGGAAATTCATATTTAGCGTTAGCTACACAAGGTATACGTCATACCACACTGGTTGTCAATGAAACGTCAGACTAGTTTAAAATATGGTTGCTTGTGTTATCTTCTATTACTGTACTCTGTGGTTATCTTCGCATCTTTTTATTGATTTTTCACTGCTTCAAATTCTGGCTTCTTTTACAAATAAAATTTCCATTTAAGATTTCATTATCATAAGTTCACCATGTCTGCCAAAGTGTTGGAAGCTCGGGAACACTGCAAGGCTGCGGAAAAATAGTAAGTAAAGCAAAACTTTCGAAAATATATGTTGAAATTTGTCAATGTTTTAATCTACTTTTAGACTTAAAACATAAATAAACAAGTTGGAAATATGATTTCTGATGATTGTTCAATGTCTATTTAATTTGATTTTTCATGAGCCAAAGACATATATTCTTTTTCGATGTGCGTTCATTTGCATGCGATGTCTTTTTATTTTCTTAAATGTATTATGCTGTATGCGATGTTTTGGTATAGTTATATGTGCTTACTTTTTTACATAAATGTTAATATTGATAAAAATGTTTTATTTTTATTTTACTGTGACTTTTTTACTTTTTTTACTTTTACTGTGACCCTAAAAGAAGCAAAAAACATAAACATAGACAAGACAAGTATATTTGGAACTTTTTGCTACACTCACCAATTACAAAAACTTCAAGGTATTTCCAACAAGTAAAATTCAGCACAGCAATAACATAAAATGCTGTAAATTCAGACCCTTTTTTAGATATAGTATGTAACTACCAGACAAAGTCTCAGATTGAAAAAAAAAAGTTAAGCTGTAACTTTGCGAAGAAAGAAGTGAGGCCGGTTTTATAAAAATGTGTGCATGGGCCCGGTGATGCCATCTAATTTTATTTTCTTGAAAACATTGGTTTCTTACTTACTTATGTGTGAAATGAGATTCTATCCTACTATTTATCTCTGGTAGCTTAATTTTTACATCCTTGCACAACACTATTCAGCATTTTTACTTGTAAATATTGTTGACATTTTTGAAGATGTGATTGACTGACAAGGCATAGTTGCGTGATATATGTGTGGTGTGTAATTGTGTATGTTTAATTGGCATCACTTCTTTGTTTACCAGTACCACCTTAACTTTTTTATTTGTTGTGAGGACACAATAAGTCACAAGAACGCTTTATCCTTTAATATGCATACTATGCATACCAACTACCAACCTCTAATATGCATACCAACTAACAAAAATAGTAAAATCCTATTAAAAAATTAAACTACTAACTACAAAAGATGTGGTGAGATCTAATTGTTACCTAATTAGTTAACAACATTTCAGGTAATGGTATTAATGTTAGACATCTGAATTTCTCAAATATATAGTGTAATTTGCTATTCAGACATAGGTAATACCATCAAAATACAACAAAATCTGTCACTTATACAAAAAAAAATACTAGGTATGGATGCTACATTTATGTACGAAAAGAACTTCTTTTTAAATGTTAATTTATGTGTTTTCCTTGTAATTTTTGTGATGATTGATTTTAAAGCTAAGAGCGACTATAGCTATCTTTCTTTATACCAAATAGGTTGGCATGCTAAAATAATGCTATAGTTTCTGTTTTTTTTCCTTTGCTGTGGACATTTGGTTAGTAATCAAAGCGGTGGTCACCAAGTAAAAAATATTTTTTTTATCTCCATAGTATCCAATTTTTTTGAACTGAAACAAATAGACGCCTATCAAGCCCTTTTGGCTATAAGTCAACTTATAGCCAGAAGTGTGTGAAGTCCAGTGGCCAACCATAATAACTTTTTGATGCAAAAAAAATGTTTCAGTAGCCTGCAATATAGGACTGTCCATGCCCCGTACCTTCTCCTCTATACTAATATTGTAAAGCTGAGGAGTTTGTTTGGTTAAAGGCGCTAATCTCTGAAAATATTAGTTAAAATTGAAAATTCCTTAGTGTTGGATAGCCTATTTATTGAGGAAAACTATAGGCTTTATAACATAACCCTGCCACTAATAGAATAACATCAATGAAGAAGGTTGCAAAAACAGCGAAAATTTATTCCTATTGACAGATGTAGACTGAGTTTGACGGGACAGCTAGTTATGTTGTTCTTCCTTATTGATGACTGAATTTGTTTATTTTTTTTATATGCTGGTGTTGCTACGCATGCTGTTGTTGTTTTGATTTTTAAAGGAAATTAGTTTCTTAATGTCTCTATTCATTGAAACACTGTTTTTAATAATTAGAAGTAAGAAAAATATATTTATATAATGGTGATGAAATAATGGTATATCAAAATATTTCTAGTAAGTAAGTCTACGGATTCAAGTCCACATTATATTTTAAGAAGTAATATTAGGGGAATATATGTAGCACCAGGGACTTACTCTCTGCACCAGGGACTTCCTTTCTAGGGTATACCTGGTTCCCCGGCTATTAGTACCCGAGACGGCGTGCGGTTTTAGGTCGGTTCGAGTCCGACATGCCACCGACAGGTGGTATCCGAGAGGATTTCCGCATGGAAAAAAAAAAAACTGGAATATATGTAAAACCATATCCAGGAGTTCAGTATTTAAACAAATATTGTGGTTAAAATTTTAGAAGACCGTTTAGGTGCCAACATTCATTGTTTCCAAATATGTATCCTCAAGAGCATCACATATCCCATTTCTCAGACTTTAGTAGCTTGTTTGGTGAGCCTGCATGTGGCTAGTTTTTTTTCCTACAGTTTTATAAACCTATTTCCTGTCAATTGAACTTAGAATGTTCCTTTAACAATCAAAATGAGCATACCTAAAAAAAAATGAATTCTGGTTTAGTCCTTGTTCCTAACTCAGAATACACACACAAATTACAGAATTTGTGCACATTTAGATGAAGGAAGAAATAAAAGGGTTGTAAAATAATACACAACTACTAAAATTATCTTTTATGTATTTATTATTTGTGTAACCATAATCTGTTTTATTTACCAGCCTGAAGACGTCGCTGCTGAGATGGAAGCCTGACTTTGATTCAGCTGCTGATGAGTACAGCCAAGCAGGTGAGTTATCAAAATCACTTTAATCCCGAATGGACAATGCGTTTGTTTGTTAGATATCAGACGATAACTAAACTAATAACTAAAATAACTTGGAAAATACACCAACTGACTGATATAGTTGCAACCTGTCTGTGTGTGCCATTCTAGACTTTACAAAATCATGTAAGACACATCCAGTAAATTACTTTGTAAGGCTTCTTAGCTTAGGTATAAAAATAGAACCCAGACTTAAAATAGATTTTGTGGGTCCTAGGGTCTAGTCCTATCAATCAATGTCAATTACTATATCATCGCAAAGTTAGGCTATTGTTGACACCGATCAGGGGATTACCTTGTTAGCTTTAGGAACTTTCCTCACCCCTTTCGAATTTCACCTTCGGGCGTTTCTTGCTGCCACGTTGAGGGCACGCATAGGGCATATAAGTATTTAATATTGTCAATAATAAATCAACGGTGTATAAGGATATCGCATTTTCTGACCTGACTCCGACTCGCTGTTGAGCCAACATTGTTTTATACTATGTAGGTATATTAGATTCGAATATAATATAAAATATAGAATAACTTTTAAGATATTATCAGGGAGGAACTTCTTTAATATCACGATTTGCGTCACTTCGTTTTATTTTCGGAAAACAACATAGAAAGAAACCACCCACCACCCAGACGTCAATGCTCCATAAAGAATATTATCTTATGGAAAATTACCCTTATTCAAACAATTATATCCACATCCACGTGTGCAATTACATATGTATATAGTTAAGAGGCACGCCCCTAAGAAACGCGCGAATCAGTACTAACTATTTTAAAAAAAAGATCACTTAATTAAATGACACTACATATAAAAAATCTCGGTTGCTCAATCGATGAATCTACATTTTTACCGCGGGCAACTTATAAAATAATTATTTATTTTCGAGAAACATCTCTCAACATTGATCAAAATCATCGAAATCGACCTTTGCTATTTTGAATATCTCTGCTATTATGTTGTTGTTCTATTTAAAAATAGTTTTTTATTGATCACGAGAAAAAGTATAGAAAATACATTCACCGTAAATTTTTTTTACTAATTTGGACCAAAAAGCCAAAATCTAAGCTTAAATATGATTCATTATTTATCGAAAAAAGATTCCTGTTGTCCATACATTTTAGTATTAATTAGAGTATATACCTACTCTAATTAATACGCGCATAATAGACGACGCACCTTTAGACGTTCACACACCTGATTATTGAGCAGTAATCGCAGCATTTAGGTCACCTTATAATATTTAACAGGGTACTGACAGGGTTAACTACTCAGAAACATTCTGAGAGCTTATGTTGTGTCGTCTAAAATAGATTATTTAATAATGAACTTACCTGAAGGTACGAGTACATAATGAGTTGTTTGTTACGGGGGTGGCTATGCTATCCTTTTGTTATATGAAACAAACAAGATGATATATACTTCATTTTGTTATTGTGTATTCGTGGGTGTACTGTGGGATATTGTACCCCTTTGTCTACTGCACCTTGATTGTCACAATCCATCATATATTGTAAAGGTGGGTAATACATTTGTGAGGGAATAGAACTTTGTGAAGAAAAATCATACCTACTGCAGTTTGCTGTTTGATTTTTTTCTGCCCGTTTTGTATTAGTAGTTCAAGCGGACCATTTCAAGCGTCTATCGTCGGGACTTAAAGCGATAGAGCTTCCGCGTAGTAGAATTAGATCCAGAGGCCAAAACTGCTTTATTTGTACTTTCTCTCCCTGCCATAGCAGACTTGTGTGTACAAAATGTCAACTTTACGAAAATAGATCTTGATTGTATTTACCATGCGGTCCATTTTTATTCAATCTGCAATTAAATAGGCGATAGCCAGTGTCTAGCACACTAAATAGATGGCTAATTTTCATTTACTTTACAGCGCAATGCTACAGGATCGCCCGCGAACTGGAGAACTCGAAGAACTGCCACCTGAAAGCATCTGAATACTACAAGAAAAACAGAGCCTTCTTCCATGCTGCTAAATCTCTGGAGAATGCGCTTATAGTGTGCAAGGAAAAGGCCTCACCGGAAGAGGTAAGCTGACAGCGATATTAGCCTTAATACGAAGAGCTTTGTCTTGTAGACTGTTGATATCATAGTTATCATAAAATAGTATTTTAATACATATTCTGGGTTGTTTTTAAAGATTGGCGGCATAAAATCCCCCCTCGCCCTTAGTCACTTTTCATGACATGTCTGCAACTAATTACTAGTTTGTCTACAGCTAGTCTATCTTGTTGGCGTTGAGCTCAAAATAAAGATATCATGTTTATTACAGGCACAACAAATTACAACATCGAAAAATGAATTTTAAACGTCGGATTATAAGCCTTTGGATCTCCAATTTGCTTTAGTATTTTATAGTATAATATTTATCATTTTGTGTTCTCATTACATAGTAGTAATCCTCAGGATCAATATGTAGGTACAGTATTAAATAGTATGAATGCTTTTGTTGATATTTTTAAATATTCACGTGATAATGCGTAACGTGTATGTAAACTACTCACATTTTTAAATATCTAATATCCGTATTAAGGTTGTCTGTAAGAGATCGCCGTGAGCGATAAGAGCGCCGATTGTTACGTCTATATATTTGTTAGTAACTTATTTGTTAACGTTGTTGTTTGCATACAATAAAGATATAAATAAATAAAATTAATATTCACATGGAATAAAACGCCTTTGTCACGGCCCCAAGTAAATCTATTCAGGTGGAAACTGAAATAAATGACTTTTGTCAGCTACGCACACGGCCCACTGCCTGTGTCGTGTTCACTGATTTACATTGTGACTTAGATTTTACTGGTTATTAATCCGCCCACAGACTATATTTCGATACAAATATCGAAGTATATGTGAGAATGGGCCTTAGCTAGCAGGTAGTGTTAAAAACTAAAGAGTAAATATTGATATAAACAGTGTTTAGATGAAAGTAATTAATTAATGAGGGCCATATATTAATTCACATATTAATAATTCACTTTAAAAACCGTTTTGAACATTATTACTATGTAGAAAACTTTGCGAGCCCTCATAAAGCATCGCCTGTTGCTGGTTATTTAATTATTTATGTTCTAGCTTATGTATGTCATTTATTTTCAATTGGATTGATGTTATTGTTTGTTAATTATTTTGCTATAATATAACTATTTTATCTTGCCAAATTTACTTGCGTAGATTCAGAGATATTCGGTTTAATTAATTACATACTCGTAGATATCGAAACAGGTTTACCGCGGATTGTCAGGTGTGTGAACTGAGTAAAACTTTATTTACTTAGCCATAACTGAGAAATGTAACATTTGATCTATTATATGTATTTATAATCAGTTACAGTAATTTTAAAAACCTAATAATATCATTTCAAAAGTTTTTTTTATTTACTCTTACTCTTATTTATCATTCATTCTTAATTTTAACGCAAATTTGATACTGTCGAATTGAACACCAAATTTAGTTCTACTTGACAACAGAATAGCATTTTGGAAATCGCCTCACTACATTAAGAGAATTTTGGAGAAATTTTAGTTTAGTTGTGTCAACAACAGAATTAGCACCAATATCGGCTTGTTTATTGAAGGACTTACAAAGAATGGAATACCTAGAAATTTTCCTTACCAAGCGATATGTAGAATTTTTTTGTTTACAATAATGTTTGATGTCGATCTAAAGCTTTGAAACAGTATTTTTGTAGGTATGACTACAAAGATTCCGGTTTTTATACAATCGAAAAGTTAAATAAGTCTACATCTCGTCAACTATTACTATTTTATTGTTTTAGTTATACAACTTGGCGATGGAAGCCTCGAGTCTTTACCAACAACACGGCTCCGGTGACAGCGGAGCCTCAATCTTAGACAAAGCCGCCAAGATCTTGGAGGAGAACTCCCCAGAACTGGCGGTGAAACTGTTCCAACAGGCGGCTGATGTTTCCGCAGTGAGTTTAGTTGTCACTATCGGTATACGGACTTCATGCGATATATTAATTCTGGATCAGTGGTGTGTCAGTTACATGGCACCCACCTGGAACTGCGCGGTTCGCTTAACCTTTCTTAACAGTGTAGGAAGCCAATATATTTCGGTATGATAATCGCCCACTTCACTTCCGAACCTTCTGAGTCATCTCTGTCAAATTAAAGTTTATTCTTACTACGCTATAATACAAATGAATGGTGGAAAGTATAGAAAAGAAGAATAAATGAAATTTTTAAATAGTAATTAGATCATTCTTGATAGCGCAATCTAGGTAAACGAAAATCCTAATAATGGGCCTACGACTTCCAACCCTAATTAGTATACTCAATAACGGTTAATTTTGTCCAGAACAGCTCTGGTATAACAGTATCGGTAACTGATCAACAAAACATATTTCTAGGTCGACGTAATGTATCCATGAGAAATGTGTGATAAATAATTATAATAATTTCATTCTATTCCAATAAATGTTACTGGCCAGTGATTACCAATCTGCTGCGCCATAGGTCGTGAGTTAGATTCCCATACTGGATAAATATTGTATGATGACTACGATCATTTGTTTTGTGCCTGGGTGTAGTATAGGGAACGTCGACCTTAATACTTCAAGAGATTGTAGTAGCTATCATTTCCAATAGATTTCATTATGAAATGCCAAATCCCATACCTATTTTTAAGATATTGGACTTTCAAGATTTTTTATAAAAATGTTTTTATTATTTTGTGTAGTTGATACATTGTTGTTACTAAAGTTGTAGTTAACTTAGAAAACTGGACCGAAGTAGATTCGATTCTTTGACGAATATTTAAAAAACATCTATGACTGGGCAAGCAAGTGTTGATGTGCCAATCTGCAGTCAGACAATTACTACTATTAATTAACAATTCATTTTTTTGTCAGTTTCAATAAGTTGTCGTACGGTGTCAATATTAGTCTGTTACTGCAGTCGCCGGTCGACCTTTACGTACATCGTCATGGAGATGATCGCTTCCACGTCTAAATTCTCCAAACCACGAATACACAGAGCTGCGACATGGTGCTTCATCACCAAAAACCAATTGAAGTCTCTCAACTCTCTTGTTGACTTAAGCCACATCGAAAATGCTCACGAGTTAAATTAATTTTGATTGATGATTCAATTTTCGAAAAGACGTCACAATGACAAAACAAATGGCAGTCTTGCAAATTAAAAGGAACATGTTCCCAAAAGTTCTATTTTCAAATTCCATAATTGTTTTTTCATTCTGTAATTGTAAGTGGCTTAATCCAGAGACCCAGTATGGCCCAGTGTAGTATATATATAATTATATATGTATACGTATATATAAGTATGTTAATCAGCATCCCGTTATCACAGGCTCAACCTAGTTAGAGATTAGACAGCCGTGTGTGAGATGTGTCAAGCTAATATAATTATTTATACAAGTTATAATTGAATGTGTATTACATGTTATAGACGGAAAGCAGTCAACATCAAGGATCTGAGTACATCAGTAAGGCTTCTCGCCTTCTAGTCAAACTGCAACGGTAAGCATTTCGGTATTATGACCCGTTATAGTTTATCCGTGTGGTGACGGATAAGAATACGGAATGTCACCACCCCTATTCATCCCGTGGGTGTCGTAAGAGCCGACTAAGGGAGCAAATTACGCAGGACAACAGCACTGCAAAGAGAAGGAAAACTTGAAACTAACCCTGTACCAACCCGTCTGGCCAGCGTGGTATAGAAGTCCAAAACCTTCATTCTAAGGAGAGGCATATGTCCAGGAGTGGACTGTTATAGGCTGTTGATGATGATGATGATAGTTTATGCATTTGTAAGAATTTTGTTTTCAATAGTAATGATATAACTGTCTAAAAGCCCAGGAATATCAACCACAAACTATGTGTATATGTTTTACGGTGAAAAAAAAAGGTGTCGTTTATTCCATTCCAATAATAATAATTGTGACTGGGCGAGTTTGAGTGATGCTGGCGGGCTTAAACAAACGACAAAGAAAAACACGCTTAACCTGAGCACGTTTAAAACGTCTTAGGACTCTTCCTAAGACGTTTTAAACCTGACAACCTGTATATCACAATTGAGGTTAAAGAAATAGGGCCTGAGATATGTATGTATAATAATGCCTTTGCAGTTACGATCAAGCAGTAGATAGTCTCCGACGCGAGATCGGCTTCCACCAAGAAGCTGATAACGTTGGTGCAGTGGGCAGACTGACCGTCGCTATTGTCCTCGTCCAACTGGCCAGGGGCGACAACGTGGCTGCTGAGAAGGCTTACAAGGTATATTGTAGACAACACACAGTGCGTTGCTTCCTGTGTAGTTTGAATTAATTTTTGTTTTTATGGAGTTAGGATTGTTAATGGGTATATAACTAAATTATGACAATTATTTGTTAACATAAATTGAATCCTAGTGCCTGAGATACTGGCATTTTTCAAGTTCATCACAAATCACAGCAGTCGAAGTGGTAAATTATTATTTGAAGTCCAGTCGGCACATTTATTTACTATTTATAATAAAATTCCTAGCCGATTTAAGGAAAAACTGCATGCTGTTACTTGAATGTCTAAATGAGTTTGTATGTTCTGTATTTTCATTTAAAGCAATTAATGTATTTCTATGAAAAATTTGCTTTTTGAAACATTTTTACAATAATAATAATTGGGACAATATTTATTTTTAACTAATTTCAGAAAAAATAGGTATACAATGAATATATTACTGTGTAGTTATAAATATATTGTCTTGCTATAGCTTATCTATATTGTGTTAGCTTAAATTTCGAGAACAAGTAATCTAAAACTTTCAACCAAATATCGCGTAAGGGAGTTATAAAAAAAAAAATGACAGTATTGTATGAATTATGCGTAAAAACGAATATCAGTTACTGCTTCATTCTCAAGAATGCTATGCAAGGTAATATAACTATAAAATAAAATAGCTTCCTAATGAAAAAAAATTGCAGGAGTGGGGCAGTAACTGTGAAATGGCTGAAATACAAACTTTGGAGCAGCTTCTCCAAGCTTACGACGAAGAAGACCGCGAATCCGCTAAGAAAGCACTAGCAAGCCCCTTCATACGCAACATGGACGTAGAGTATGCTCGTTTAGCGGCTTCTGTGCCGTTACCGGAAGGTATGGAGCCGGCACCCAAGGCTACGGTCAGGGAAAATGCGGCTCCTTCGTACGTCAGCGCTAACGCTCAAAGTACCACCGTTGCAGTATGTATACAAATATATATATTTAAACTTGTAAACCTTGAATTTTTTTCAACAGTGATTTTTTTTTATGGTTTAGGGACAATCGTTAAACATGTCATTGGTTTACAAGGATTCGATATCCAATTTGGTCCAAGTATAGATACATTTTTATCAAGTACTCGTATAAAGGAAAAAATGGAAGTGGTATTTAGTGAAATAATATCACATTTACACCCAAGAGATTGTGAGATCCTAAAAACAATGTTCTTTTTTTTAAATTTACTTTATAGTTCAAATTACAGCTGAGGTCCTGATCTGGTAGAGCTATTAGTTCCTTTCTTTCCTTTCCAGATAACAAGAGTTTTCTTTTAATTATACTCCTTATTTTTTCATCAGAAATTCCCAAAGTCCTCAGGTGACTGTAAAAGGGTTGCCTACTACTACTCAGGATAAAACTAAATAATAGCTGGTAAAATATTGGTTATTGAACATGCATTTGCCAAACTTTGTGGTGTGTGATACTTATGTACAAAAAATCACTTTTAAATTACAGGAAGTGATGCACGAGGACGACGAAGAAGAATCTCCGTACGAAGCGGTGAACATTCCGAAGAAATCTGACGACGAGGACGACTTGTGTTAAACGGTTCATAATCTTTTTACGTAAGTTATATTACAGTTGTGTACAATCGGTTGTTGGTGATAGTTTGATTGATAACTGACACGCTCCTAGTTGTTTAGAATTATATAATTGAATATATACATATTTAAATTAGTATTTTGATACAACTGATCCGTTCGTGAGCAATATTAGATAGAAATAAACTTTAAACATATAAGTGAGAATAAATTAGTGAATTAATGTATTATTTTTGGATGCTGCATCACTATTTACAAGAAAAAAATGGTGTGCTTTAAACCACACGACTGAAGTAAAACTTCTTGGCTATGAGAGAAAGTGAGAAAGATGTGTGCTCGCACCTCTTCCTACAGTAATATACGAAACGTAACTCTCTCTTCTATCTTCTCTAACTGATATCTTCCTCTGAACTTTCGTTCGCCTCCCCCGATCACACTTTTCGTAACGCTCTCGTCACACATTCAGCAGCTTACTCCCCAAGCGTAAGTAAAAAAGTTTTAGTTCAAAAATGGGGTCCAGAAAAAAAACCTTGCTGCATGTGGCTTAGTGAGTATAATTCTATTTTCTTTTAAAATGTTGTTTATTTTGATAGTAGTATGGTAGCAAACACGCAGAAGGCAAGTTTACTGATGGTAAGCTACCTTACCGCATTGGTGTTCAACCACCAATAAATTCAATCCATACCAACCTGTCCCAAACCAAGAAGGCCCTAATGGGACTTAAATAAATATATAAGTATATTATTTAGTATAAGAATTTACTTAAATAATCGCACTATCACCAATAATATTTTCATGTTACGTTAAAGTATTATTTATGCGTTCATTATTTTAGCGTAAGTCAAACAAACATTGTGACGGACAACGCGTATATATTGCATATAATATGAATTAAAGTAAACACTTTAGTGATTAAATTACGTAAATATAATGCATATGCGTAGTGAGGTAATAATCGTTAAAGACTTGCACCAAGCAATGTTAAATTATAAATGTATTAACGCATTTTCAACATTTACGCGAAATAAAAATTACGCGCCTATATTTATATTCTATAGTATCGTAAAGAAATCGTAATTACGCGTTACGCATTTATAGGCGTACGCATTTTACGATTGTATTGTAGTGGATTGTTTATAACGGGTGAGTTTCTGTGGCTCGTGTTATTGATATAATTATTATAGTACAGATCTTAGACACTTTTAGTACCAATCTTTAGCGTAATAAAGGTATTTTTTCTAATACATATTTTTATCACACTACTTTTAAATTCAATAGTTTTTTTTTATATATTTTTTACAAAGGTGAACCAGTGTTGTGATTAAGTAATTTTATTGAGGACACAATCTCACTGGAGTGAGTGAGTTTGTGTCCTCAATAGGTCAAATACTCTCTCAATAGGAAGTCATCTTCAAACCGTACATGAAGTAAATTGTTTGGGGTTATATATTTCTTTCATATAAAGTAACCAATAATTTATTTTAAGATCAACAATAAAAGCAATGTGTTAAGCGCTACGCAAAATTTCCTAAATTCATTTCCGTAGAAGCATTGTCTTTTTATTTCACGGCTTCACACAGACCGTATACTCAAAATAAATTGAAACGTTTTAGTTAAATTAGTACCAATTCTTATATTTGTGCACTCGAGATTATTTAAAAAAATATATAAAGGGCTTGTTCTAACAACGGCCACACAAACAGCTAATGATCGGGCCACTAAAAGTGTCAATGTCTTATCAGTGAGATTTATGTACTCGTAATATTGTTAAATGGGATTTAAATAATTCGCAAATGTGTCTTTCTATAATTCATTCCTACTTCATACGCAGTCAATTCATTCAACTTTAACATAAAGTAATAACATATTTTCATCTTAAAAGTAGTTTGAGCATTGTATTACTGTTATACTACAGTAATCTTTGCATGCATTTCAAACAAATTCTTAGTCTCATTGTAGATCTTAGTCAAATATAGTGTTAATTATTCAAGTTTTCTCCTGTTCTTAACAATATGTTTTAAACGTTAGAGAGTTCAGCTCACGTAATACGTACATGAGTGGAATAGTTCGTAGAGTCAATTCTTTAACTCTACAACAAGTGCTCCTTCCAATATCTGCCAGCTATTCTCACAATTGTGTACGAGGCAAGTTTTTAAGTAAATTGTGGTTGATTCCATAACGCACAACCAAGCAATATATATGTTTAATGTTTAACAAATTTTTGAGAGAGATTGTATTATCAAATGTGCCTGGTACTTACCATATTGATGGAGAATAAATATTTTATATAAGTCCAGTCCATAACGGCCACGTTGAATAATTTATATATTTAAATATGTAACTTCCCTTCAATTGTTCAGAAGATCGCCGAACATTAATCCCAAACTAATATTATATTTGTAATAATTAAAATGTTTTAAATAACTATACATATGTATAGGTAATTATATTTGATCACAAATATATTGAAATGTTGTATTTAGAAATCAGCAACGAGAGACGGATCGGCATAATCTGATTTTACATATATGTATATACATCGAATATGTGATCATTATTTATGGCGCTTTTTAAACTGAACGCATATAGATTTAAATAACGAAATGTAATACAGAATATTAGACGTATGTATTGTAATGGTCTTTTTACACTAGTTATTCGAGTCTCAGATCTTGTCTTTACCAGGGTGTCAGGTGGCGTAAATCAACTTCTTTAATAAAGCTCCCGAATTGCAAAAATGTTAATAATTACTAATGTTGTGCTAGTAAAAATAATAATAATGTTTCTCTGGCTCCAATTGACATCAGTCTGGCTGAAAAACATACCGGATTAAATTTATGTTATAGAGATATTTAAAAAAAGCACGTAAGCACAAAAAACATCGGTATAGTACGCGCCAAATAACTCTGCGTCAACGATGTTCGCTGGAGCAGCGCAGCAAAATTATATTTTAGGTATCAGAGGGGTAATTTCTGCGCATCGGAAAGAGACGGGGGGCAGTAGTGCATCTCGGTCTTACACATTAAATGACTTTTCTGCTTAACTGATTCACCAACGCAAAGCCACAAACTTAAAATTTTGGCTGCTAAATTAGCAGCCAAAATAGTGCTTACTACATAAAAAGCATTAGCAGTGCTAATGCTTTTTATGTAGTAAGCACCGGAATTTTACCCTTGAGAGGGTTAAATAAGGGAAGAACGGTTGTATGGAAGTTTCGCATTTACAAAATTAGAAACACGAAATACTCACGCGAGCGAAGCCGCAGGCAATAGCTAGCTTCTTATATGTGTGTAGCTAGTGTACAAAGACCAATACTACACAAGAGGTGATCGATTCTAGGAATTATATTCATGATAATACACTCAATATATATAATGAAGTATTAAGTACTTTGGCAAATATTTACGTTTGTGTACGGAGTGGAAACTTGTGTGCTAATAGATTGAGTTGAATCAGGTTTAGATAGAAATGAGCTCTCAAGGCACTGTTACTTAAACAACTCTTAAAGAAAACATGACACACAAAAGATGTACTTAGCTTTAGAAAAACGTATAAAGTTTCGAAGGCCCATACGAGTTCTGGCTTCGGATCCCACTTCAATGAATATGTGGTATGTGTGTACCTTCATTCAGCAGTGGACGGCAAGTCTGATGATGATATAAATACCTATTTCTATTTATAGAAACCACTTACTACAGATTTAAAAAAAACTATCTACTTAGACAAGTATTTTAAATGAATTTACTATTTATCGTATAATTATATTTTACTTTGAACAGTGTGGCTTTAAATACAAGTTACATTTTGGATTAGCACTAGTTGCCACTTTGGTCATTATCAAAACTACTTTGGTGGGTATCTGATTTACTATATATATTTAGGTATATTATCAAATAATATGCGTCTGATGTATGCCACACAAGATAAATAGTCGTGTAAATGGGAGTACTGTCTACAAAATATCTTAGAATCCAAAACCTTCTGGAGAGCATCAAATAAAGCATGATATTCCATAACTGCCCCAATGTTTAATCTATCTAACTCGTTTTTATTAGACGTATGTCGAAACAATGCTTTAAAAAGAGTTTATTATATAAGAAATGGCATTTTATATTATATATGCACAGCCATGCCAATTAATGTTGAATCACTTTGAACTTGTCTATGTTAGTATAAGCATTATAGTTATTCGTTGTGCTACGCGTAGCTCGGTTGGTATTGGACCGTTGTTTTCTTCTCTTCGCCTATACACAACCGATTTTCTTCACCGTTTCTGTGCCCCTCCTATGTAGTCTCGACTCGAGAATTATACATCTACAAATTAATGTGACAGTGTAATTTGACAATGTTTGGAAAGACGGTAAAAAAAGTAAGCTTTAATAAGATTAACGACATTATGGGCAACTAGTCATAATAATACTAACGCAGTCAAACTGAATAATAAACGAATATCAACCGAACGAACGCGGTTATAATAATCATAATATAACCAACTATATAACGAATTGTTATATCAATCAATGTAGTGAGATTTAGTGATATAAGTGTTAGCTCGCATTAGCTAGGTAGAACATCCGTTCGTGCTCAAAAGTTAGCTAGCGATCTGTAGCTGTGTATTTTATGTAAGAAATGTATTTATTCTTGTTGGTATCGTTTATTTTTAACTGTTATTTTGGACAACTGTTTAGTTTTGTATAATTTAGCATGTAATCAACTCAAATATATGATGTGGGCCCATTATCTATTCTGCCCTTAAATTGTTGATATGGTAACGATTTGCGCAAAGTAATGTTTATTAATTTGCAGAATAGACATTAAAAAAATCGTTTAGTGACTAGATAACAATAATTTAATGATGTTTTTGTTTACCTTATGATTAATTGTTCTCTATATGTAAAGTATTTTCTATATTATATTATGAGACAACTTTTAATATTTATTATAATGAAGGTAAATAATATTGTTTACTTGTTCAGAGTGTAGAATAACATCGTGCCTACGAAACTAGTTGGAATTGTTATACGGTGTCTTATGGGTGCTTGTCCAAATCACAGTATGTGTAGATGTATATTTTACTTGTCATTATTTCTGATACACCAACAATGTATGAGCTAGTATTGCACTATACTGTACCCTATGAAATACAAATAATATAACGTGTAAAACTTGCACATTTCTGCTTTTTCATTTGAAATGTATTATTGTTAGTTTTTTGTCATTCTGTAGTGGGCTAACTATCATGTCTTTAAGGTTCTATGTATAAGATTGTTTGGTATGAAATAAATGTAATTAAATCAATATTGAAGTATTTTTATTGACCTAATTCATTTCCGATACTTACAAAAGTAGGTATACATTAACATTCTATTTATAGGAATAACTATGAAAATGGTTTTTTATACAAAACATACGAAAATTAAAAATTAAATTATAAATACATATAAACAAAATGTTGATTCTGCCTTCACAAATGAATACAGCTATTTATATATCATGATACACAAAAATGTCACTACTTTTTGTTTAAATATATATATAGTTACAAAACCACGAGATTCACAAAAGCTGACTGATATTTAGCTTGTTCCAATCGTACACATAGTACAGCAGGTTTGAAACATTCTTTTGTTCAGATTGAATGTCTTATGACTTACAGGTTAAAAACAAGGTGGCCGTTTAAGGAAACTGATCAACCATAGCATGTATTGCCATAATACAGGACAGTCCCTAAATTTGACGTGAGCTGTAAATATTATTGTATTACTATTATATCGTTCGTGATATTTAATAACATTGTGTAAATGTCCGTCTAAAATTGACCTAAGTGGCGTGCAATGGGAGAGTCCTATGTCCAGCACTGGACTGCGATAAGCTGATGATGATGATGTGTAAATGTTATAAACACGTATTTTTAAACAGCAATTATAAATAAAAAACATTGAGGCAGATTGATTACGAATCAAATTAATAAATATACTCATTTACGAATAATATTCTAAAATCATAAATTATAAGTATATTAAAATAATCAATTATGAATAGGTACCTATATTGAAATATGTTTTATAATAATCAATTATGGGTAAAAAAGCATATTGCGGCTGATCGGATACCAGTCAAATTAGTAAAAAATACCACACATTTACGCTGATCACAGTATTGTTAGGTACTGGCAGACCGATAGTAAGTATACTAAAAACCATCAACAAATCGATTATATTACCTTTAAAAACAAATTTTATGTATTCAGTTCAGGTTATATCTACCTATAGGTATAAAAAAGAGTAAAAATTATCGTTTTACTGTAATACCGTTAAACGTAACAGAAGCTTTTGGAATCATACGTCATACTCGATTTTCACTTAGGGTGCTTCTACACGGTGCAAGTAGTTGGAGCGAAGACACGGGTTGTTTGCGTCAAGAGCATGCACGAGTTATTTTCACATTTGGTTGACATAATGTGCATGCTGCTCGTACGGGTGACATACTGGACTGGTGAATCGGTGGACCCGTTTTGTCCTCTTCGCGAAGCAATTAACATATTTGAATCGTGTAAAAGCACCCTTAGCCCTAATCAATTATTATTGATTGAAAAAAAATGACTGTCTAAAATGCCTTCATATATATATACTTAGCAATTCTTCTGACAGACAGAACTTAAATGGTAATAGTCAGAGATTAAATCATACCCTTACAATATCTGTAGAATTTCTTCATAGAATATTATATAATTTACAAGGTAATATAACGAAAACGAAACTTATATTGTCATATGACACATAGTAGTCTGCTGTACTGTGGCCAAGTAACGAGTCTATTATTGCTCCTTAGCAACACGCGAGCTCCAAAATGTAGTGTTAAATACATTTTAAATTGATATTTAATAAATGACTATAATACCATAATATGTTATACAGAAGTATCGAATAAAAATCTACACCTAGCATGAGCACATCACTACACCTATCAACTCCATATAAACATTCAAAACACTAGGTACACTGCTACATTTTCCAACAGGCTACCCTTCTAATATAGCCTCAGATAATAGCTAATATGTTGTACTCAACTGTACTGGATGACTGGAGTGCACATTTAAGAACTATATATTTTACAGGCAGTATAACCGATAACAATAAATTAGTCCATTTGCTGTGAGTCTTAAGGCTGCCCCAAGTCACAAAAATAACTACCAGATTATGAATTAATTAAAAAACCAAGTGCGTTCATTTGGCATCCACACAACTGATGTTTGAGGCTTTAGCAATTGCTAATATAAGTAGTGTATCCCTCAAAAATTATTACTTTAGATAACGTTATGATTTACTCACTATTTTTTATTGCATGCACATATTAAAGAAGAATGGCTCAATATATGTTAGCTGCCTACTATACTTTCTAGTATGAATACCAAATCATTATCAAAATACTTAAAATTATAATAGTTATAGCTAATAACTGATTCCATTTATTATTGATAAATAGTTACATCAATCATGATTGCTACAACACAATAACCATCAATTATGTCACTTTCAATACATTCTAATCTAAATACTAAGAGTATACAACGTTGAGGAGTATAGTAAGTAGACACATGTATATAATAATATGTACGAATGTATTCTTGTGATTTCAACACTTAATTGTGGAAGCTCTGGATATACATTTCTAAATTAAATTCAGCATTTCTCAGCAAATATAACTGAAGTGACATACTATGTGTTAGCTTTATAAAATGTATGAAGGGTAAAGCATTCAGTAAGGATCTAGTAATCTAAAATATAATATATCAGTTAAATTAGTAGCATTCATCAGTCCAGCAAGTGTTCTTAGACTATTAGACAGCAGTGCAGTGAGAACATTGTAAAATGCACAATGTTATCATTACTGCTCTGCAGTAACCATTAATCTGTTCTCTATATATGTAAATAAATTGTTTTGTATGTATGTCATGCTACTATTCACCAAACTCCCCAAAACAATATAAAGAAATACTTAAACATAACTTAAAATCTATGATTGTATATTTTTATGACTAAACATAGTATGTATATATGGTGGTACCATAGGTGGTACTGAAGACGTTGACTCAGGAGGCTGTTCTTTGTCTTTATTATTTTTTGTTTTTCTAAACTGAAAACCGTTTTTCCTCAAAATCTTCCTTAATGTTTCCCGAGAGCCTTTGAAGTTAATTTCGGATTTCAGGATCTGAAGAAGCTTATTAATAGTTGGCACTTCTTTCTTGTAGGCATAGAACTCGTGAATTTTCCTACGTATTACCTGAAGATCATATTCATCAACCTCGATTTTGCCTTTTGTTCTCACTCGCTTCTTTGGAGTCTTTTTAAAGTTTCTGGATCCAAAAGTCCTTGTTCAACCAATCTTGCTTCCTTGACTATGTTCAAAACTGTTCGTTCAGATACACCTGAAAATATATGAGGCATGTTAGGTGTGTAATACAATAAATACATAAAGTGAAGCATTTTCTGATAAGTTGTTTACACTAATAACTCATTTTTAATATATTAACCGATTAGATTTTGGAATTGCAATTGCATACTACAATATCATCACATGAGCCACCATACACTTAATATTGTTTCATGTACATATATTTTAAAGATAATTTTGCTAGCCGTTTTTGTCAGTATTTTAGTTTATTTTCATAGTTGTGCTTTCTTTTGGGCTAAACATATGTATTTGATGCCTTTTCTTTTATCCAACACCCCAAAAAATTTCACGATAATAAATTGCGCAATTGAAATTGTAAATTAAGCAAACGAGTGAAATTGTAACAAACAAATGATAATGTATTGATTTAAAAAACTAAAAATTAAAACTAGCTTACAGCAATACATTATATGCCACTAAAGGCGATCACGTTCATATTTATATATGTTCCAGGGCTGAAGAAACAGGCATAACCTACATCAATTTCTCTATATTGAGTTCTCTTGAATGCAGTAAAAGTTTGCTCTGGGAATCAAAATCTATACTTTTGCAATATCTATAGATAGTGTGGAGGGCTCTAAGCAATTTTTTCTTAAATAAAAACATATACATTACAATTAATACGTTACTATGGTAGTATAATATTGTAACATAATAGACCAGCTCGTTGCAAAAGCTTAGCAGTTAAGAATCACAGCAGCTAATTAAAATCTAAATTCATTGATGTTCTAAAACAATTATACAATCTAATATGATATCTCGCACAGTCTCGCACAGCAGTAGCATTTTATACAATGATCAATTTTTTATTATTGAAAGTTTTGATGCACAGATTTAAGTATTGGAATTAACTGACTTTCACCATAGTAGGCCAAAACCTCCTTTCTAAGGAGAGGCCTATGTCCAGCAGTGGACTGTTAAAGGCTGTTGATGATGATGATGATGACTTTCACCATCCTCAAGTTATAATTATCAGTAATTTCATCAAAAGAATAAGGAAAGTTTTTATATTTTCCTTTTTGTATATCTTATAATGAAGCGTTTAGTTTGGTCTAACTTAACACTTACAAAAAAAGTATATAAGTATTCCATTGGTCAATCTAGCTTTTATAATACAAGCTCTACCTAGTTTGATACTACATTGTGTCTCAGATGACCCGAATTTCATATTATTATTATACTTACTAGACCTTGACAGTTAATCTGTTGTTCTTAATCTAAATAATTTGTCAACTTTTGATTGGACAGTAATATATGTAGATCATGTTAAATATGGACTTCTTCAAGATAGGCATTTGTTTAAATGAAGTTGGTTAAAAATAATAAAATTGTTTCTTTGTTCTTTAAATCTTTTTGTTGAATTAGATTATATTTATAAATCAATTCTAGTGTCCTCTTGCCAGGTACATTACACATAGGCCAATTGAATCACCACTTGACACTAATTCAGATAATTCATTCAGTGTCAGTGGAATGATCCTTACCTACATGGAAGAGAAAGAGAGAGATTGTGGTGAGTGAGACACAATATTATTATTTTTAAAACCAAAAAATAATTCAAAAAGATAAATTAAATATAGGCAATCCTAATCTATGAACGTATTGATATAGGCATAGGTGGAGCAAGTATCTATTGCTACAATTATCGAATAGTTTATATGCTAGAAAACCTCAAAGATGGAATCTTGAATAACTTGCACCACTCTGCAGAAGTGGAGAATGATTTGCATTAAGTCTAGATTTATTTTACGATATTAAATCAAGAGACTGCCGAGGATACATAAAATAATATTGCAATTGCAACAAAAAAAATGTACAACACTGAATGTAATGAACAAATGCATGTCATTTAGCATTTGGTAAATAATTACAAGAATGTTAATTAATTACCATGATCTATGTATCTCTGTATGCCGAGAGGGAATAATCAAGGAACAATAATTTGTGTGGACGAACCTGTAGCGGCGGAAACTCTTACATATACTTTACTCAGCGGTATTATCGGCACTTGCATACGCTTTTCTTCGTCCATAAACTCCTTTACCTTTAATATTATTTCGCGAACTTCACTTGTTATGTTCTTCGGCATTTTTAACGATTGGTAATTCAAAAACAAAAACACAGATCTTAAAAATGGCCGCTTTGTTTTGTCGGTGTTTGACACTTTGACAGTCGAATAAATATGGCGGTAATGGCAGCGTTCGGATACGCATAAGAAACATGTTCATTTGTGATCATACTTTTTGCCATAACAATGTGATTCTGTACAGTATAATGATTATACCTAACACATTTTACTGAATCTCGACCAGCCATGAAAAGTAAGTTTATAAAACGAAAAATTTTCTGCTTTGCAAAGTACAATGTGAATTTCAATAATAAATTATTTATTTTTATTTGAACCTTGTGTCTTTAATAAAACCAAATTCAATCTAGAATTAAACCTTTATACTATGGTCATGTTAAGGAATAAATAAACGTTCACAAAAAAAAAAATTAGGCTTTGGTTTTTTTGTTTTTTTTTTTATACAAATAATTAGAGCTTAAAGTGAAGAAGGTATGCAAAAACAATTGGTATACTCCGACGTTAGTCAGCACCGGCCATAACCACCGCGCCATCTCGGGCAGTTGCGGGCAATCAAGTGTAACCTAGAAAGGAAATCCCTGATAGCCCGACGAGCTCCGAGTCATTTACTGCTTACAAATGGTCTCCTAATGTGTAGTGACTACGGTTTCCCCCTCAATGCTCCTAAAGGCCCACCTGACACCCCCAGGCCCGTCGCTTAAGAAGGACGGAGATCATTCAGCGACCACCAGCGCTTAAAACCAATACCGGGCCTAGAGAGACGGTAGAGGGTTCTAAGTCCCTCCCGGTCCCACTTAGCCCCGCAGGAGGACTGAGTCACTCCGTACCATGGTCGCAATCACTGGGACATTCTGGCGGATAGAACTCAGCACCCGGGCGTCATGACCACGCTCTGGCCATCATAGTGGCAGCACCCGGGGCGATGCCTCTTTGCGGATTAGACACAGGGAACCTCCAAAGCGTCCTTTGCGTCAGCTAATATTAGGGGGTCCCTTGTTTCCTATCGGCCCATCCCCCATAACACGTCTTACCGTCGCAATAACAGCGTGCCAGAATTAAGCCACCCCATGATCTTCCGAACGACGATGCGATAGTATTGATAATTTATTTATATTCAAATCGAAGGTTTATCCCCTGTTCACATGATTCCAGTCCAGTTTTAATCCAGTACTGAGCGGGAATTGCAATTTCCATTTATTCCATCAATCCTGCTGATTACTGTACTGGACTAGATTGCTTATTGGAAATGAACCCACATTTTAGTGCATTCCAGTGCAGCAGTGCCGGTTTTGATCATTGGACTAGAATGCTACAGGAATTATGTAAACAGGGTAAGCCATTTTAGCCGGACTGTAGATTATGGTAGACTTTTGTCTAACTTCAACTCCATCTCTATGTAGACAAGGCCTAGTTGTCAAATATCATTTCAAATATAAATGATCGAACCCGACTGTCATGACATTTCCTAAATATAAAAATTAAAATTTAATTGTTTACAAAAATGTATGCAAACCACGAATACAGCCGTTTCCACGAGTCCTACTACGTGCATCCATGTTCAATTGTACCTGAAAAAGATGTGGTTTTCACCGATATAGTAGGCAATGGTTTTTTAGTTCAAGTCAAGCGATGGTGGCACGATCTTTTTTTACTTTCGTTTTCGAGTGTCAGATCTAGAGGCTTTTACAATAGTTCACACGCGATGAGAATTGAAAGATTTAGACAATACAGAAAGTACCGTTCACGGATACATCCAATGAGCAAATTTTCGTAAGTACATACAGTTTCGTAAATTTTTCTTAATTCGAGACAGGCAGGGACAATAGTTGTCTTCACTTCCGTTTAGATACACCTAACGAGCTTTACCATATTTGTGTAAGTAGGGTTATTGGTTTGCATTCGCTCGTGCCCTATAAATAATGTTTCATTTTGCCGTTAGCCGACGATGCATGAGCGTACCCACATTGGGGCAAGGTGGGGCGCTTGCCTCACCCTCCACCCTAAGTATAAACGTATTTTTATGTGACAAAAATTTTGAAACAGTTCAAGAAGTGAAAAAGATAGAGCTAAAATTGAGCAAAGACAATATTTGGTGACGCAACATTCAATTGCCCCCTTCCATTCATTAAAATTTTTACTATACACGTCAACTTGGCCAGTAAGTACTGCCTAGTGGTCTGGAGGTTTTAATAACACATTTTCCCGGATCCCCCAATTTCAGGCGCAGAGTGGCACACTGTGGTTTAAGCCGGATTGATTCGGACACATTCCACATCGCACCATATTGTAGGTATTGGTGTTGTTGTGGATTCCAGTTTCCGCATTTAGAGCCAAGAATGGTCCTTTGGAGTTAAGGTTGGCTAGGTGAGCCAACCTAGCTCCTTCAGAAGCCTCCTGGGCGTTCATAGGGCTTCTGCGAGTTATGGATACTTATCTGTTGAGTGGCCACGCCCTTGCATTCCACGATTACGTGGGCGGCCGTTTCTTTTGCTCTTAGACATCCTTTGCAAAGAGGGCTGTCCAAGTGACACAGATGGTATTAATGGTGAATAGTTTGTCGGTTCAGGACTAGGTGTAATGTGTATAGTGTCTTACAACTATTCGGATGTCTAGTCTGCTAAAAACTGATCAAGTCTGCAAGTAAGTCGTGGTGAGACTTCAGTCAGCACCAGTTGGACGGTCTGCAGCTGGGGCGAGTTTTTTTCACCTCCGGTTGTATGGTTGAAGAGTACGTGTCTAGCCCAGGAAGCGAAGTTGGTTAAAAGGCGTGGTAAAAGTATGATGGAGCCGGCTGCAGAAGTTGCCAAGGCCCTCCTTGCCAGCTCATTTGCGGCTTCAAAAAAAAACAAAGATCCGAGTAAAAATCCGAGTAAAAGTCAGAGTAAAAGTCTCTTTACTTTTACTACATTGGAGGAGTACCACTATTTGTTGTGGCAAGCTGCTCCAATGCTTGATGGTATTCGGAAGACAGTACCCACGGTTTATTGTGTTGCCCTTCTCAGTGCTCTTTGGACTACCATGGGGACAGTATCCGTATGTCTTTAATACCCTATGATATGACTGTTGTGACGCCATAAGTTATTGCCACGCATTGACATATGGAACTGTGTTGGCCTAAGGCTAGTGATTTGTTTATGTTTAGGTCTTGTGAGAAACTCCGGACCCAGTCTTGGTACCGTTCCCTGTAGTTTCGGACTTTGTTTATTGATATTAATGACGGATTGATATTGATGAAGGATTGATCGAGATCATTTTACCAACGTGACGGCGTGCTGTTGGCGGTGTCGTTGGACATCGCCAACGCATTCGATAGTCTGACATTCAGCTGCATCAGGAAAGCACTCCACTATCATGGGGTGCCAGAGTACTTGAGGCGGCTGGTGGCCAGACTACTTAGAGGAGCGTACCGTCATGTGCGAGGACTAAGATGGTGCTTTAAGGCGTCGGCCCACGTTGTGCGGTGTTCCGCAGGGGTCTGTTCTGGGGCCGCTTCTGTGTAACATAGGTTTATGACTGCCCAGTCGTAACGCTCCGGGGGGAGGCGACCTCGAAGGGGGCCCTTTGAGGTCACCTCCCTGCTGCGTCGGGCCTTGGGCAACTTTTGCCGAATGTGGGTCTAGCCAGCATTGCGACAAGACGGCTGCACACGGGGGTTGTGCAGTCAATGGAATTGTATGGTGCACCGGTGTCGGCGGCGGCTCTGACCACCCAGAATAGTGCTTGCCGAAGTGCGGAAGTGCTTGCCGAAGTATATCGGCGGACGGCTGAGTGCCGATGATAGCGGCATTCGGCCCCCTGCCCGAAGAGTATACGCGAGTGGCATGAGGCCCCCTCGCCGAGCCACGATGGCTCGTTGGTCGTCTCCAGCTGGAGGCTCCTCGTGCCTGGCTTTTGACGCCGTGGAGAGGCGCTCCAACGGTCATCGTCGAGTGGGCAGGGTGGCAGCACGGAAGAAAGGGTTCCGTGCTGCCACCCTGCCTACGGAACCCTTTCTTTCCTGCTGACTCAGGTTCTTTCCGGCACGACTGCTTCGGAAAGTACCTGCACTTGGTCGCCAGGAGGGAATTGAGTCCCGTCTGTCACCACTGCGAATGCAGTTAGGACTCATCTAAGCACCGGGTCCTTATTGCTATCATCGGAGGGGACCTTCTCGCTACCGTGCCGTCATTCGCTCCTTGGCCGATAGCAACAGATGTTTCACTTCGGACGCATCCTCTTTGAAGATGTCATGTCACAAAAGGAGGGCCCGGGAAGATGACCTCCACTCGGAGCCGGCGAACTTGCTTCTGGCTACGGGTGAACGGGACGTGTTTCTACCCTCCACCCGCCGTTATGGGCCAGCTGCGAGGATGTGTCGTCAGCGTGTGCCGCAAATTAGAGAAGGGACTCAGAAGGTAGTGCCCGCGCTTTTGCGGGCAGGGCGCTAGGAAGGGATGTCCGGATGTCTTAATAACAGCAGTTCCAGGATCCCCTCCTATTACAGGACGCAAAGTGGTACACCGTGTGGTTATAGTCGACATTCCGACACACCACCCCGTCGCAAAAACCGGTGGGTGACGGCCCGAGGGGGTTTTCAAAAGTAAAAAAACCGCCACTACTGCCTCTTGCTGTATAAACAGCTCCAGTGCAGTCAGGCCAAGAAGCGGCTGCTGGCGTTGTGCGCATACAGCCAGCGAACGCAGAACATGGCAGTCGCTTGAATTGCTGCAGTTCTTTTATGATGGTGCTTAGTTCTGTTCCCTGTCACCAGACAATAGCATTACTGGTCGTATTGCTGTTTTATAGAACCATAGTATAAACTATATTTGGTGATAGCTTTGGCCAAATAGCCATTTGCATTGGCAGAAGACGAGGAAGGCTTTGTTTAGTTTTTCTTCGAGGTGCCTATTGTACAGGATTTACTGTCTAGTAGTACTCATAGGTATGTGTCCTCTTTGTAAGACCCACTTAGGTTTCAAATAATTCGAGGAGTCTGAGATTTCCTAGGCTACGTTTGTTTGTGAGCAGGGGCATCCCCCGTTTCCGACGGGTTTACTATCAAGTTGTGTGTTACACACCAGTGGTTCAACGAGCCTCAGTGCGGATCTCATTTGACTGCATATAATACTCTCAAAGGCACCACTGATAAAGACAGTAAGGTTCAATCATCAAAACATAAGAAGAATAATCCAGTTAGAACCAGAATCGAAAAGTATTTGGTACTTTACCCAGAGTAAAAACTTGGCTTACGATCGACAATGACAGAAAACCGACTTGTCGGCCGCTGCATAACGAGTGTGCACAGGAAAAGGGGGTCCGGAAGCACAAAATAAAACCATAAACTAAATTCTAAGAGGTTTTGCTGAATTCCTCGCAGGAAATAATTGAAATATAGCAAACAGTGTATTAAATACCAATCATTTATCTAGTTTTGTCTTAGTTTTGTCCCACCCCTAGGTTAAATGCTGGGTATGCCCATGCGCCGGTGATGTGATTATTATTATTAGTGATGTGATATTTTTCTATACAACATTTGTATTTTCATTTCCTTTTTTCCATCATCCCAGCAGAACGACATTTTAAATGCGATAGCCTGAATGTTTGTTTTCAAACGAGTCGCATCTTAACACATTGTAAATGAAAAAGCCATGCAAGCATTTTAATGCAAACCATTTGGGAATTTTATATTGCAATAAAATAGGTTTGAAAAACATGATATACTTATAATATTTTGTAGAAGTTGGATGCAGTAGTTGAACGTCGTGCAGAAAATAACTTAACTTATAAATTATAACCCTAGATTAGAATTAGATGGCCTATTATTACTGAAATCATTTGACGTTATCGACCAGCTCTCATAGATGATGCTCACCATACCTACAACACTACTATAAAAAGGGTGCCGTCTGAACTCTCTTCAGCCTATGTGATTAATGTTCTAGCTACTCTAGACTAACGTGTTTTTAATTTTCAGTTACTTCTGGAACTGTGTTATCGTCTTCGCCGTGCTGCTGACGAAGATACTGTTTAGATTTACTTCCTCAATTTTATTTGAGGTACCCCCTGGCTGTCTATTGCTTCGCAGCTGCTCTTGAATTCATTATTATTATAGATATTGTAATCAATATGATGACCGGATTTATTAATATGCAAATCAAAAGGGTAGTTCTGAATACTAAAAAGGGCTTGATTCATTATTGTTCTACTAAACTGTTTCTACACATGATGTCAGCTATTCCTATGCATTGGCTAATGTTTATAAAATATGGCCAGGGAATAACTTGCGGTCTATGTAAATGCAACAAGTTTATAGCCGTTATAAAAATCTTAAACGTCTTTAGTCTATACAGGGTTTTTGAAACGACCTTATTTTGGACTTGGAGACGAAGTCCAGGGGCCACTCATTTGTTTAAGTTTTTAAGGATTGCAACGGTTGGTCTTGTGACAATGACTCAGTTTTATGATGTTGTCGATGTTGTGTGGATGTTAACAGTATTACACGATCAGAAGTTAGATGAGTCCTCTTTCGTAAGCATGTTAATTGTAGTAAGATATGGCATAGTCCGAAATGTTCCCAGTTATATGGTCCTATGTTATGACATCTCCAGGATTTTCAAATCATTTTTTCTGTTCAGCTTTGGTTTAAAACGGAATTCTGGTTTCATTTGGGACAAGATTTCTTCAGTGATGCTTATCTTATTGCTAACACTTTTTATGCTTGGACCATCTTAGAATGTTATTCGATGATCAGTCGACAAGTGTACCCGAAGGAACAGCTGATGAATTCTATAGTTTTTCTCAATGATTTGTGGCATCACGTCAGATATGCGACAGATTAAAGTTTAAGATCGACAGATACTTTGAATTTAAGTCTTCGAGGTTGAAGTTATTTAAGACCCAGAATGGCCTGTATAAGAGCTTGCCCGATTCCTTAAAGAAAGAAATTACGGTTAAGTTGCTATTCGAGACTAAATCATGAAGATACACAGATTATTCACCGAGTGGCCCATGGATCTTATAGAGAATTAGCGTTGTTGTTAAAACCAGAGATGTATTTGAGTAACGATATTGTAGCCGAAGTAAGTCATGATGTCAGAAAATTTAAATATTTAGTTCAGAAGTAGATGTATAGAGAATATACTGATCTGTAATTATGCAATTTTCGTTGTTTAAACCTATAAGGCCTAATGGTCTTAGCAGTGAAGATTGTAATGGCTGCTTATGTTTTGGCTGACAAATTTATTATTACAGATTCACTTTCGAAAATAGTCTTCAGAAATGACTTGATTGAGTGTTATTAATGCCCTATATTTTTTATGTATTTAATGGTGTAGTAGGTTTTTAGAAAACTTAATTTGATTGATTTAATTAAGTTTTTTTTTTCATCAGGCTTGGACTCCAGGTCAGGGTTTAATGATAGTAGATGTGGGTGTTTTGGCAGTATATACCGTTAATTACGAAGAGACCGGCCAATCTTATCGATGGTGATTACTTTGGAGAAATATCTCTTGTTACCGATAAGGAAGTTAGGATGTCCTACGTGGTGGCTGTCCACTCATGCAGGGTAAAGAATAAGTTTATTTAATTGTTCAATCGACAAAGCTGCCTTAAGAAACAACAGCTGGGGAGTTGGGAAAATGCCACCATTTACCTAATCTATCTGTATATAATAATTCACTGTTCGAAATTACGAACTATTGAGGTTTATTTTTTATGTCCGTGTAGTGACGGATTAGGAATACGGAATGCCACTACTCCAATTCATCCCGTGGGTGTCGTAAGAGCCGACTAAGTGCGCAAAAAAAAACCGCTTGGACACCAGCACCTGCAAAAAGAAGGAAAACTGACACAAACCCTATACCAACCCATCTGGCCAGCGTGGTATAGTAGGCCAAACCTCCTCGTCTAAGTCGAGGCCTATGTCCAGCAGTGGATTATTCAAGGTGTTGATGTGATGTTGATGTGATGTGATGTGAGATTTATTTCCGGACCGGTGAAACTAAAAACCATCTATTCTGTAAGGTTCTACAACACCTAAAAGAGGCTCCTTCATAATTTATCATTTTATGCCCATTTATTTTGTTTCTTTACGAAGCTTGTCAAGTAATGCGGATATATTTACAATATAATTATTTTCATGTTTTCAGATATTAATTTTAGATAAGCTGATATTTAGGAATTACATGCGGAAGTATCCAGAGATATTTTATGACCTGAAGAGAAAATTGTATATTAGAAATGAGAGACTTATGAGCTAAAGAGATTAGGCACCCTGTTAGAGTCGCGGATAAACGAACAAGCAGAAGAGACAGGAACATCTAAAGCGCCAGAAGCCGGTGCTGGAGAATCAAGTGTCTAACTTTGTCGAAGGTGTGAAAGCGTCGAAAAAAATTGTGTAGCTATCGCTTTCTGTGTTCAATATAAACGGTTTTTGTACGCCACACCGCATAATAAAATTGACCCTTTTGTTTTAGTTGTTTTGTAGCGTGATACTACTAAGATTTAGATATTTTACGATCTGTAGTCTTGATAGACTACCATCCTAGTTTAGAATCGAGATAGTAAAACTAAGATTTTACTTATAATTGTACTGTTATTTTTTTAAAATAATGCCCAAGTTTACTAAAAAATACCTACCTAATTTTAGTTCGAGATTATTTCAATACTGGAACCGGCTACTCATTAAAATAAATACCTGTGATATCATTTGATAAGTAGGTCAGAGAAGAATGTTTTTAAGTATGCATGTATATCTCTGTTTTCTCGATGTAACAAGTGTTGTTATTTGTTGACCTGAATAATTCAGGTATTATTTTCTTTATTGGGTATAATACTTACTTACAATGGTTTATCCTCGTGAGACTGCCTCCGACTTTCATTCAATAATGTTATAACTAGGCCAATGTGATAGGGGACTACTCTTAGTTCATAAGTTGGATTTAAGTAATAATTTTAAGTCTGTCTATGTTATGTTTGTGATTACTTTGGAGTCAAGTAATAAATCTTACATATAAAAAATACATTTTTCTACTTATTTTATATCGGGTGTGCATTTTTTCACATAACTTTTTTAACTTCTATTATCGGATGTCCGAAAATATTTCTCATATAATTTTACATATAATGATAACTCTTCATAAAAAAATTAACACTAATGATGGAAACTCATAATCATCAGAATTACTAAATATCGCTAATCATGCACCTGGTTATACCTATTAATATTTGTTTAGATAATTTTTTTAATCATAAGTATTTTTTATCTGTTTTATAAATCAAGCAAGTTTTTTAAAGCGTTAATACTCATTTTATTTACAGTGTTGTGTACCTGCAATGGAACCATTTAAAAGGAGATCAATAATACAGAGATTTAAAACTTAGTTCATCACAAAGGCGCAGGAACTTTGTAAATTTTCGATTGTGTGAAATGATGCATTTAAGGAAGGTCTCCGTTAGGTACGACTACGTGCTTAGCGAAGAGGAGTGTTAAGTAAGCCAGCCCGCTCTCCCCTATGCCCTCTGCCACAACAGAGTGACACGCGGAAAGCAGCCCTCCGAACAAGCCCTTGGCGGGCCGTTCCCACCTCGGCCGGAGTTGGCCGCAGACGGCAGCGCCTCCCCCACCTAAGGAAAGAGGCGCTGCCGTCTCCACGCACCCCAGAACTGCTACCCTAAAGCGCGCGAGCCGAACGAGCCAAGCGGCCGGGCTAAACACCAGAACCGAACATATTTTATAACTAACACTCACATGTAGTAGATGACGAGCGAAGAATCACCCCCTTCTATTTTTAAGTCCCTGCGTCTTTGTAATTAACTAACATTTGGACCCCTCTTATCTGTAATTATTGATCTGAGAGACAAAGTTTGCACGAATACCCTTTCTAAAAGCAAAATACTATTTAATAACCTCTAAATTACAGCTAGGAGGAAATATATGGGGTCTACCAATAAGAACGTCCTGGTTTAAAATTGAATATAAAACACACAATTTTTTATGAAAAATGCATCCGATTGATTTATTTGATACATAATTTTATGCAATTTATGTTTTAAATAATATATCGGCCAAATGACCGCCGCGGCTCTTTTTGCAGACGGTCATCCGCTCACGCCAATTTTCGATGACGCGGTGCACTATTTCGGCCGGTATGTCGGCTATGGCTCGTCGAATGTTGGTTTTAGGTCACGAATTTGTAGCTGGGTTATTGCTGTACACTTTAGATTTAACGTAACTCCAAAGAAAATAGTCTAAAGGTGTTAAATCACACGGTCTTGGTGGCCAACTGATCGGTCCATTTCTCGAAATTAACGACTCACCAAACTTTCCACGCAATAATTCCATGTTTCACTCAAGAATGTGAGGTGGTGAACGGTCTTGTTGAAAATAAAGGTCGTCTGCATCAATATCATCAAATTCCGGAGAGAAATATTCGGTTAACATCGAGTTATAGCGCTCGCCATTCACAGTAACAGGGTTTCCTTCGTCACTTTTAAAGAAGTACGGACCATGATTCCACCGTACCATAAACCACACCGAACTGTTATTTTTTTGCGGATGCAATGGTGATTCATGAACCACACGTGGATTTGACTCACTCCAATAGCGACAATTTTGTTTATTAACAAATCCATTGAGCCAGAAAATGGGCCTCATCTGAGAAGATGATTTTACGATGAAAATCGTCATCGGCTTCCATCATTTCCAGTGCATAAATCACGACGGATACAATGGTCGGATGGCCTTCAATTCTTGTGCCAAAACAATTTTGTATGGGTGTAGGCCTAAATCCAATCGCAAAATACGCCAGGTGGTCATTGGAGAGAGCCCCAACCATTGTGAACGGCGTTGAACTGATCGATTTGAATTCGCATCAACACTGGCCTGAACGGCTGCGATATTCTCTTCACTACGGGCATTTCTTTGTCTCACAGGCACAGCAGTATCGTGGAGTGAATTCATTTTAAAATTTTGTTATTATGCGATTTATAGCGCGCACAGAAGGAGCACTATGACGACCGTTTTTTTGCGCGAAGCGCTCTTACTGTAGCGTAGGAGAACGCGAATTTGCGTAATAATTTTGGACAATTTCCAAGCGTTGGTTTAAAGTGAAACGTGACATGATAAAATGGCAAACCTTACTGAACACAAATATCAAGAGACGTCAAAGATCCATGATCAAACATGGCCGCTATGAGCTGTCAAAACCAGGTCATCCCTATTGGTAGACCCAGGTATATAATCATTTAGTTGTTATTCTTGGGTTGTGATTATATTTTAACTAAATAAGTAACGACATAAGTAAGTCTTATTTTGAATACTTACTCTTATGAAAAACCAATATTATGAGGCCAAATATTTTCTTAGTAATGCCATAAGTATTAATATTTTATTAAAAAAGGAATACTAAAGAAAATATGATTATTATAAACACGTGTTTTTGATGTGAACATTTTGTGATCACGATTTTTAAATAATTATTGTTCAATTTGATTTATAAATTGAATAATTATTATCATTCCAAAATATCATAACTATTAACTTTCTGTATTAGTTATTTGAATATAGGATATTACATAAGAAATGATTGTATTGGTACCTACACATTTCAAAAATGTATGTCATTCTGTAAGGTGAATATTCTAGTCAGAGGACCCGTTCCTCTGTGATGAAATGCTTTAACATTATCGAGATTCCTCTCATAAAGACTTATTAGCTACTTATGTAGCTAATAAGTCTCTGGCAGTAATTATTACTGTTATGGTGGCGCGTGAGGGGGGCTGGAGTGCAGTGGTCTCTTTCTGTGAAGCTGTAACCTTTCTGTGCTCCAAAAAGAGACTGCTGAACTGGATCTAAAGAGGGCCAATCGCAAGCGAACAAGACGTCGTCGGCGGTATGAGCCACTGACGGGACGCGGGCCGAAAGAGAATGGGGACCTCTGGTGGCAGATAATTGCTGCTACTAGGGGATAGAATTTTGGCCTGATCGCACCCAAAATGTGATGGGCCACCAACATTTAATGACAGGCGGGGAGCGGTGACGGGATACATAGCGTAGCGTCGATTCGGGTGGGCTTGCATTTCCATGGTCCGGGTCCTCCCCAGAGTAGGACGCCTAAAGCCGGTGTCGCCGTTCGGTTGGTTTTTAGTACGTAATACCATATACCACTCGATAGCTAGAGATCCAAGAGATCTTCCACCCGGCCATAAAAGAAAAATGTCGCTCAGTGTAGGATTCTGTAGTTGTAGGATACACTACTTAAACAATTACAAGGTCATGCTCGGTGTAACGATGCTTGTGTTTCCTTCACTCTTATCGATAGTCACTGCAGTTATAAATAATTTTTAAAAGTGGATCAATTGTATGAGGATAAAGATCTTTACACACTTCTTTTTGAGGGGGGGGGGGGGAGGGGGGAAGTCCTTGGAAATCTAAGGCATATTAATTCCGTTTGCATCACAAAAGATTATGATTCCTTTTTTTGTCTTCA